ATCCATCCATCCATCAGCATCCACCCATCTACCCATCCATCCATCAGCTTATTCGATTAAAAAAAAAACAATTTCACAATGACAACTTTTCTTAAGTAAATGCTCTAAAAGAAAGGGCCGGAGTTTTTTTCCCCTTTTGCCCTAAGGAAAATGATTTCTTTCTTTTTTAAATTCATATTTGCCCTTATGCCCCTGCCCCCACCTCTCTTGGCAGGGCCCAGATTCCCAGCCTGGGTCCCTGCCCACCTCCCCCCGCCCCAGTGGCTGTTGGAAGGGGACCTGGGAGAGGGGAGGGGGGACGCCCTTGGGATGAGGTTTCTTGAGGGCCCGAGGTGGAGAGCAAGAGGAGATGGCTTTTTGTGAGGTGACTGAGCGGAGGGGCCGGGAAGAAAGCCCTGACCGGGACATGGAGAAGCCCCTTTGTAGCAGCAGGGGAGCGGGGCATCTGGGCTGTGGGGGGCAAGTGCCACAGATCCTCACTCGGGCCTTGGCAGGTGTGGGCACAGGGAGGGTACAGGTGTGTGAAACAACCTTAGGAGAGGCCGCCCACGGCACTGCGTGCAGAAAATGAACCACCCCCCTCTGAGTGCAGGTCAGCCGGCCATCCGGTCAGGCCACACACCACCGGAAGTGCCCTCGGGCTGGGGGCTCTCTCCTAGGCCGGGCATTCAGCATCGAAAGATGACGGGATACGCAGACAAGTAAATACCAGGTCAGGTGGCGAAAAGTGTCAAGGAGGAATGTGAAGTGGGGTTAGGGCTGTGATAGGGAAGGCGACTCGGAGGAGGGGGCATTGAGGCAGAGACTGAAAGGCGAGGGGCGTGCAGGGATCTGGGGGAGAGCGCCCCACGTACAGGGGCAGCCAGTGGAGCTTGGGGCCCCCCAGCTGACCTGTCCCTGACAATGAGCCAGTCAGGACGTGCCCAAAACCTTGAGCATTAAAACAAAGAAAAAACATGAGCCCCAGATGGGTGAACTCTTTCACGGGTCCCCCCCCCCCCGATGGCTTGTATGTGATCTTGCATGCAGTAGGGACGGGAGGGGACTTTGAAGGAGAGGGGCCGGTGAGGGTGTCTTCCAGGGTGTCTCCACGACCACTCAGGTGGGTCTCCGGGCTTAGCTGAGTTTCCTAGGGTGGCATCTCTCACCCCCCACCCTGCTGATATTGAGCCCATGGGTGTGAGGCTCTGGTCTGGGAGTTAGAAGAGCTGGGGCCTCCCCTGGTGCCACCATTCAGCCGCCTCTGTGACTTGGGGCATGTCAGGGGCCCTCCCTGGCCTCAGTTTCCTCCTCATAAAATGGGTATAATGCCTGTTCTACCTGCCTAGCAGGTATGTGTGCAATTTTACAAAAGCCCTGCACTTATGACTGAGGTCAGGGACAGAGAAGCTCTTGAAAAAGAGGGAACACATTCTGTGAGGTGGCAGGAGGGCGGGGGGGCCCCATTCGGTCCTTGTCCCACTGGCCAGCTCTCCTTCCTCTGCCCCCTTCTCACCCACAGACGGCAGGGCAAGCGCTGCTGCCCGGGAGCCTCCGCCGATGGAGTGTGGCCTGGCTGGCGCGAGCACAGGTAAGGGAGTGCAGGGACCGGTGGGAGCCCCCTGCGGCCTCCTCCGCCAGGCCCGTCTTCCCCACCCTGGCCCCTGTCCTGCCCCTGTGTGTGAGGTGCTGCCCTCACTAGGAGCCTGTGGGCTGTAGAATTGCAGAGGGGGACCAGGAGGTGGAAGGTCACGTCAAAAGAAGGCAAAGAAGACCGACTTTGGGAGCTAAGAAAATGACAAAAGGCCACTGTGCCTCGCTAGGCAAGGGGACGCGCACACACCCGTGCAGAAAGCCAGGCGGGAGGGCGAGTGAGGCGTTTGCTAACTGCTGGTGGTCACGCTGATCTAACATTGAAAACCAGCGCTCTGGATGAGACGATCCCTGTTGGTTTTGATCAGGAAAGTGCCTTCGGTTTGGTCCATGAAAGCTTCCTGGGGTTGCTCAGAGTTCATGGGCGGTGGAGAGGAAACAGGCAGGCAGTTTTGGTGTCTGCCAGGCAGGTGCTGCTGTGAGCTGGGAGTCCTGCGCTCTGGGCACAAGGCCCCCCAGCCCCCAGCATCCCTGACCTCCTCACCACCCTGCTGCCCAATGGCTCTGGTCCTGGGAGAGGGGGCAGGGCCCGTACCTGGGAACGCTGCCCCTTGGCTCAGTGACTCTGGTTTCTTTACCTCCCCTCCCCTCCAGGGCCTTGCCCCACGGACCCCAGAGCCCCGACCTTCCCGGGATAATCATCACAATGAACCTAAGATGGAGACAAAAATCAGGCAGTAGAGTAATAAAGGAATGAAGCTTCCAACTCAGAGGGGGTGGGATGATACATGGATACCGCACATCCTGGGGCCGGCTCCTGACGCAGACTTCAGGAGCATAGTCACCCCACTTCCCAGGCCAGCTCCCCACCACTGCCATGTCACTTTGAAGGCTGGGAGCCCTCGGGGTGTGTGTGTGTGAGAGCGCAAGAGATACTGATGTTACCATAATTATGGTAAAACTGAGGACAGGTGGTTCCAGACGTTTTAGCAGAAGGAACCTTTTCCCAGGGAATCTTATAAGTAATTCCTAGTTCAGGCATGAGAGATGTGTTGGCCAGGGCCCTCTCCCTCACCTCTGGCAGCTTCTGAGGTGCCCTGGGGTCTTAGGGAAGAGGTGGGAGAACACCGGCTTTGACCTTGGAGGTCGGAGGCACTGGGGGGCTGGGCACCTGCTGGCCAGGCCTAGGGAGGGAGGGACTCTTTCTGGATGGCTGAAGTTTTCAGTTAATTACGAGCTTACCTCTTTTTTTTTTTCTATTTATTTTATGTGTTTTTTTCTTATTGTGATGAAATATACACGTGAAATTTACCATTTCAACCGTGTGTAAGTGTACGAGACCGTGGTATTAAGTACACTCACATGGTTGTGCAAGCACCACCATCTCCAGAACGTTTTCATCGCCCCAGAAACTCTGTCCCCATTGAGCAATAGCTCCCCCTTTAGCACCTTTGTATTTTATCCGAACCATTTAGAATTTTTTAAAAAATTACCCTTTTTATGGTGACAGAGGAGCTGAACCTTTGTTTTAGGACTCCTTCGACAGACAGGCCAGGGCCTGTTTTCTTTGTGTTAATACCTGAGCCCCGAGGGAAGGTGTGCCTGATGACCGAGGTCCTGTGCACACACTTCAGAGGGGCCTACGCTCGCACAGCCCACTCACTTGTGTCTGCTCTGGGCCTAACAGCAGCGGACAGGAATGTTCTCTGGGCTTTCAGGCCAGGCCCATCTTTTTGGCCGGAGAGGGCTTGCCTCCCCAGCCATCAGCCACCATGATAAATAACATCAAGGTCGGGTTTAATCAGAGCAAGACAGTGACTTCTGTGGGGCTCTGGGGCATTAACTGGGACCCCGTCACTTGGGGACAGCAATGCCCCGCTCACCTGAGTGTATTTCGGATTCACTACCTGACCGCCAGTTTGGATACCTATCGCGTTAATTACTTCTGCTGGCCAACATTTCAGGACATCTAAAGAAATCCTCTTATAGTCAAGTAAACTTATTACAGTTGGATATTCAATTCCTGCCAATGTGCAGTTTAAATCACCACTTTCATCTTCAAATTATGACTCCTGCTAAAATGATTTCTCACAACCAAGCACCTGGGAAGGCCTTCCAGGGTCATGTTGCCAGGAGGGAAACTGGCCCCTCACAGGTACTGTCTGGGCCCCCACCCTCCCACCCCATCCCTGCAGTCACCACATCTGCTTCCTTGTCCTCATGGTGGCCAGTGAGGCTGTGGAGGGGGGCCGGGCTCTTTGGCCCTGGAACCCCCAGATTCTTTTTTTTTAAATCTTTTTTTTTAAGATTTTATTTAGTCATTTGAGATACAGAGATACGGAGAGAGAGAGCATGAGCAGGGAGAGAGGCAGAAGGAGAAGGAGAAGCAGGCTCCCCGCTGAGCCAGGAGCCCGATGTGGGGCTCGATCCCAGGACCCTGGGATCACGACCTGAGCCGAAGGCAGATGCTTAACCATCTGAGCCACCCAGGAGCCCGAACCACCAGATTCTAACTGAGGTTTTCTTTTTATTTCTTAAAAAAAATACATATATATTTTAAATATTTTATTTATTTATTTGACAGAGAGAGAGACAGCGAGAGAGGGAACACAAACAGGGGGAGTGGGAGAGGGAGAAGCAGGCTTCCCGCGGAGCAGGGAGCCCGATGCGGGGCTCGATCCCAGGACGCTGGGATCATGACCTGAGCCGAAGGCAGACGCTTAACCAACTGAGCCACCCAGGCACCCTATTTCTTAAAATATTTTAAAGATTTTAAAATTTGAATATTTGAATATTCTCATACAAATTCAAACAGTGCAGCTAAAGTGAGGGTCCCCCTTGACTTCTCCCATCTAGTCCTTGTGCACATCGTCTGCAGGGCACCCACCGTCAGGCTTCAGTGTGGATCCTCGGAGTGTGCGTATGTCTATACATGGAGAGCTAGGGTGTTATTTTTCATAAATTGGGTCAGACGACTGATCGTTGGTTCTCAATTTGTTTTTTGTTTTCTCTTCAAATGTTTTGGAAATCTTCACATCAGCGTATATACGGCTCTTTGGCATTTTTTTCAGTTGCCACCTACTATTCCATATTACGAAGGGAATGATCACTTGGTGGAACTGTTACTGATGGATAATTAGACTGTTCTCTAGCTTTTGCTAACTACAAATAGCGCTGCAGTAAATATTTGTGGACATTCCTCTGTACACTCCTCTGCAAGTATTTATTAGGATGAACACCCAGAGTGAAACTGTTGGGTGGAGGAAATGGAAGTTTCGATACATTTATAATTTTAACAGGCACTGTCAAATGGTTCTCCAAGAAGTCTGAAGTAGTTCATGCCCCAGCACACCCACATATACACTTGATCTCCTCGGTAGTTTCCGGGTGCTAGAAACATCTGCGTGCAGGTTTCTGTGTAGACAGAAGTTTGCAGCTCCTTGGGGAAAATAACCAGGAGAGTGATTGCTTATCGTATGGAAAGAGTATGTTTTGTTTTGTCAGAAACTGCCAAACTGTTCTCCAAAGTGGGTGCCTCGTGCAGCATCCCCAGCAGCAGAGAATGACGGTCCCTGTGTCTCCACGTCCCCGCCAGCATCTGGTGTTTGCAGTGTTCTGGGTTTTGTCCATCCTCATGGGTGTGTAGTGGTAGTATTTTAGCTTTCGATGTTGTATAAGCCAAATTCTTCCTTGCTCATTTTTAGAGTTTTCTGCATGGTTTATGCACATCAGAAATTTTGTAATTCACTTAATTAGGGTTACACTGAATTTAAACATTGTTTTGGAGTGAAGAACTTCCTTCTCATCTAGGAATATGATGTATCTGTCCTTTTAGTTACATTTTCTTTATCCTTTCAGTAACATTTATTTTATTTTTTATTTTATTTTTTTTAAAGATTTTATTTATTTGAGAGAGAGAATGAGATAGAGAGAGCATGAGAGGG